GCTTATAGTGACTTGTGTTATCCTGAGCTATCTTTATAGTTATGCTGCTATGGGTTTAAACTGCTGGAGGACAGAAAAGCCATTTTTCCTCTCTGTTTAATTATATCTCTATTCTATCATTCTGAATTATTTGTTAGTTTAACTTTTAACTTTATGCCCTCTCTGCTTATAGTAGCTACATCTGGCCTCTATAGACGAGTTGTGCCTCTTTTTCAGTGTTTAGTCCTGTTTCTCTCTTAGACATACTGTAGCTATGGGCTCAGCTTTTACTGTCACTAACTCGACGTTCTCTCTTTCATCCTTTGACATGAAAACTGGCTCGGAGCTCGTCTGATTAACTGTTTCTTTCCCAGACAGAGCCACCTGTGGAGCTAGTTTACTGTTAGCTGTTCTAATATAGAAAGTATCTATAGATCTGTGCTTCTCTGTTCCCTTTGTTGCGTCTGCTAGAGAGATTGCTCTAGAGTCAACAGCATAGGGAAATTGAATATCTAGTGTCTCTACCTGCTCATTCAGGAGGAGTGAATCCTGCAACGTCAGTGACTGGATGCAATCAGCTGGTCTTCCTTAGAAAACTGAACAAATCAGACTGAATCGTTTGTTTGAATCAGCTCTATAAAGATGAAAGATGCTCTTTTATTGTGAATTTATATAAATCAACTGAATTGAATTGAGTTTGTTTCTGTTGCTGAAGCAGAGATTTCTAATAATTGGAGGAAACGTCCTTTGAGGACTGAGTAGGATGTTAGGTGGTGGGGTGTTTATTAACCCATTTTCTCCTGTGGATGGAACATCATGGAGCCTGAAGCAGCTCCAACCTTGGAGAACATCTGCTTTGGAACGTCTCCCAACACATCTCACAATGACTGCCTCCGTTTTATCAGCTTTCATCTCACACTGATCAGGGATCAGGGATTCTTCTTACAGCCAATGAGTCAACATGCTCCTAACTAAAGGAGCGTCACTCTGAGAACGGCGTTTGGCTCTGGATTGGTTCCCAGGTGACCATTTCTGTGACTTTTGTGTTGCAGGAGAACGCCCAGTATGGAGAACACATCTGGTTTGAGGCCAGTGTTTCTGGAGACTTCTGTTATGTTGGGGAGCAGTTCTGTGTGGCCAAGTCTCTGGTGAGTTCAGAGGAGGAAGGGGAGCGAGATTAAGCTTTAATTAGCCTTCCTTATGACCTGATCTGGTTTTATTTCCTCCAGCAAAAGTCTGTACCAAGGAAGAAATGTGCTGGATGTAAGATATCTGTGCACGTCATGTGCATGGAGCAGCTGGAGAAGGTAAACAAGCTCCGTCTCTGAACCGTTCTCACATGTTTCCCTTCATCAGCTCACAGTTTCTGTCCTCTGCTCAGATTAGCTTCAGGTGCAAACCGTCTTTCAGGGAACCGGCATGCAGAGCCGCCAGAGAGGTAAGCAGGCGCCACCTGAAAGCGCTCAGAGCCGAGTAACGTTCAGGTAAATGATGCTCAGCAAATGTGTCGTTCTGCAGGCCAACGTGGTTCGGCATCATTGGGTCCATAGGAGGCGGCAGACCGGGAAGTGTCGGCAGTGTGGGAAGGTCGGTCTTTTCTCTCTTCTGCTCTCCTTCACGTTTACCGCTCTGTGAACTCTCTTCTCCCGCAGTGTTGGGAAAAATAAGCAGTTCATCAAAAGATGCATCTGACGGATGGGAATGTTTTGCTATTTCGCAGCAGCACCTCATATATAGGAATGAAGCAAACATTTCCCCAAAAGCAGGCTGATTTTAAGACGTATTTACAGCAGAAAAACTATTTAAAGTCGTAGAGAAGTGGCCGTTCCAACTGCTGCATTTCCGAATTCTCTCGAGTGGTGCCCGACTTTACACAAGTGAATAAACTGAATGTGATTGGTCGTTTATCAAGGGGGGCGGGATTGTTGTGGCGGAAGGTTCTCAAGCAAGTTTGGTTGTGGTCAGTGTCTTGGAAGCATCTTGCTAACCAGTTAGCAACTTAGTGCTAGTAGGTTCCCAATGGGAAATTCCATTGGGACCAAGTAGCACTAAATTGGTGACTTAGAAACGACGCTGTCAAGGAACGCTATGGACAGAGGAAACATGCAAGAGGAGGAGCGTTTAGTGTCGGAGGTCGTGGATGAGTCTCCTCCGTCATCCATTTTTTATTTAGAGGACAGTATCTGATAAAGAATACATGTTTAAGCCAGAATGATTTGATATTTAAATGTGGCTTCCCTACGACTTTAAAACTGAGGTTCTCACAGAAAGTTAGACTTCTATTTGCTTTTCATAGATTTTTACACAGAAACCATTTAGGTTAGTCTTTTTTTTTCAAGTTTTTCTCTGATCAGCTGGGGCGATGTATCACTCTGGATTCTGTAAAATATTCAGAAACCTCTTCAGCTTAAACTGCTCTCAAGGCTGCAGTCTTACCTCAGCCTCTACAGTTTACACACAAGCATAATACTAACATTTTTTTATTAAAACCGCCTACACTGCAAAATATATAAATCTAACTAAGTCATTTTTTCTTAAAATAAGTGCATTTTTTCTTGAATTGAGGGGGAGAGGGAGATACTTTGCCAATGGAATAAGACAATTTATATTTGAAATAAAAAAAAGACATTGCATTGTCTCATTTTAAGTGTGTCTTATCTAATTATTTTATTTTAAGAGTAAAAATACTCATTCCATTGGCAATCATCTTATTTACCTGCTCAAATTAAGGGTAAATACACTTTATTTAAGACATTTTTTTTCTAGACCATTTTTGCAGTGTATAGGGCGGAAGGTGCTCTAAACTCTCATTCTCTGCCTTTAAACCTCAGCTCTAAATTATTATGGCACCAAAGGGTCTGAAACAAACAATATTAGCATGTTATCATCCTAACCGTCCTTCTGAAGTGTTTTAAAGTGTAAAGCTCCTAATCTAATAGAGCTTTTAAGAAGGAGAAGTTTGAGGTTAGAAGTCTTTCTTCCTACACTGGAAAAACAATCTAGAAATACATAGAAATGTCTTAGATTAAGTGTATTTACCCTGAATTTGAGTAGGTAAATGAGGTTGTTTGCCAATGGAAAGAGTATTTTCACTCTTAAAATAAGATAATTAGATAAAATGAACTTGAAATAAGACAATGCAATTGTGTTTTCTTCATTTTAATGTTATTTGTCTTGTTCCATTTGCAAAATGTCAAAAAAAATACACTATATTTTAATAAAAAATGACTTTAGATTTAAATGTTTTGCTGTGTATTATAGATGTTCCTACAACAGATGGAGGCTTCTCTGGTTTTGTTAGAAATATCTGGAAAAGCAAAGCAAATCAAAGAATGACTCAACAACTGCAGTCTGCACGCATGTAATAAATTCACAAACCTTAGTACTAAACTCATTGGCTACTGTGTTCATATAGAAGAAAAGCGTATAAAATGATGCCATGACATCACCGTTCAGATTTTAGTTTGAGAAACACTCAGAAACTTGAAATGATTCACTTCTAAACATATTGAGATTAACTGGAACGTGTTCAAACTAATTTGTGATTCAAATCCAAGGAGTAAAAAATATATATATATTTGGTAAAATAATTTTATAATGAATGGTTTGCTCAATTAGTAATCAGTAACTGTTCAGAATTTTTTTTTTTTAAACTTCAGTTGTTGTTCCTGATGGAATAACTA